CTTATTTGCGTGGCCCGGTTGCCGGCAGACTAGGTGCTGCCTGAAACAAGGTAAGGTTCAATTTGGATGAGAAACACACAAACCAACACACATCCCCGGCTTCTATCTAGTTCCAGATTCCGTGATTGATGCTCCTCTTCGTTCTACAGATGGAGAACGGGAAGAATTGATGATGGAAGGTATGGCATCAGGGAGACATTGACGTAGGATGGGTTTCTTGGCATAGTGGCCCCCAAACGTTTGGGCACCAGGGACCGGTTAGGTGGAGAGGGGTTTTCCTGTGGACCGTGCGCGTGTGCTGGTTTTATGTGCTTCGCTTATTTGAGTGGCCCAGTTGCCGGCATGCAGTGGACCAGTGGCGGTTCAGGGATCCCTGTCTTAACAGCTGTTTTACATTATGATGGATCCCACCCAAAAAAGGTTACTTCAGATCCGATCTTAAAATTACAGTCCCTGCAGCACCCCAATGGTCATTTGCACTTCTGACTGACCCCAAGGACACTGCAGTACCCCCTACCTATTCTACCCATCCCGCCATGTGGTCACTGCGAGCATTTCCCTTCCGCAACAAGTTCCCGCTGGACTTTCTCCTTCTACAGCAGGTCCCCGTAAACGTTTCCCCTCTGGCTTCAATCGGATCCTCACACACCCCTAGGCTCCTACATTCCACCTTCCTTAACAGTAGCAATATCACTTATATAGAGCTTCACAGTACTTCAGAGCCCCCTCTAAGCGGTTTGCAGAGTCGCCTTATTGGCCCCCCACATTTTAGCGACCACAGAAGGACAGAACAGCTGAGTCAACCTTGAGCTGGTCAGCATCGAACTCCTGGCAGTGGGTAGAGTTTGCCTGCAATGCTGCTTTCTACCCACTGTGCCACCAACGATCATGGTGGTGCAGTAGAGGTTGTTGACCAGGGGGATGCACTACAAGACCTCCAAGGTCCCTTCCAATATTACGACCGTATCCTGGCCCAGGCCATGATCACACAGCACACACCAGCAGCCCTGAGCCTCCTCACAGCTCAGTCTCAATTTGCTTGGCTCCAGCTTTGCTTGTGGGGGCTGGACACAGTGGCTGTATTCGGACATCTGCTAAAGTGGGATTCGCACGTTGTGGGAATCTGCACGGCTGAGCAGCCCATTTTAGCAACTCTGGGAGATTCATATGAAAATATCACTGAACCACTTCCAGGCAGGGGTGACTCTTTTCCAAAGTTGACCTCATTTCCAGCCTGCTCAATGACACCCCGACATGTGAGGAATATCTTGATTCCTTTTTGTAACGTCGTCTACCAAACTCGCAGGGGAGGACGCCGAACTCCGGCTGATCCTGGTGGGAAAGTCCGGAGGCGGGAAGAGTGCCACCGGCAACACCATGCTCGGCCGGAGAGAGTTCGAGTCCATCCTGGAGCCGAAGACCACCACCCTGAAATGCCAAAGGGGTCAAGGAATATGGCAGAACAGGAAGGTCACTGTGGTCGACACACCCGACATTTTCGATTCTAAAAACCACAATGAGTCTGTGCGATGCGAGATCGGGGCTTGCGTCGAACTCTCCCGGCCTGGCCCTCACGCCCTGATCTTTGTGACCCAGCTGGGACAATTCACCCCCAAAGATGTGATAGCTGCAAAGCGTGTCTGGGATATCTTTGGGGACGAGTCGGCCAGGCACATGATCGTCCTCTTCACCTGCCTGGAAAACTTGGGAGGGATCCCCCTGCAGGAGTACGTTCGAATGTCTGACAACCGCAATCTGTGGGAGCTGATCTGGCGGTGCGGGAACCATTTCTGTGGTTTCAACAATAAAGCCGCAGGAGCCGAGCGGCAGGCACAGGTCTCGGAGCTGATGGAGATGGTGCAGAGAGTCGTTTCGGAGAACGGGGGGAGACACTACGTCAACCGGCTGCATGAGGTGCCCAAGGTACGGGATCAGCATGTCATCGAGTAGAATCAAATGGCAAAGTGGAACTGGGCGAGAGCGGTGCTCTTTCTGCCCGTTTACACGAGAGCAGGGGGTCCCTCCTCTCTGGGAGACCCCAATGGGTGGGTGGGACAGCCGAGACCCTCATGTTAGGACGGGCAATCGGGGGGAGGTGAATGGCTGGAGGTTAGTAGCTGAGATCCACTCATTAGGAACCAGATGGCTGAATCGCTCAGGATCCCTTCTTCCTGGTTAGCCAAGGAAGGCAGAGAAGTGGGGGGAGAACAAGGGAGGGGACTTAGCTACAAGTGGGACACAGAAGCACCTCTGTTGTTGGGGGGGAGTTCTGGGTAATTTGGGGAAGGGCTTTCTCCTTTTCTGAAGTTTCTGCTGGGTTCTGTCCAGGCAGTCAAACAAGGGGAGAGCTGGAATTGAGGATAGGGAGGGGAGACCTTCTTCCTAACTCTCCACCCACCCACAGGACCCCCAATCCCATCTCCTCCCTCCCCTAGGAACCTTTCCAGTGAGATTCCCAATTCTGGCCCTCCTGGAGGGGACGGGCTCTTGTCTGGGTGGGCAAGGGGGGGGTGCTGTTCCTGGCTGGAGGCTCCAGTTGCAGTGTCCAATGAGGAACCTTTCCCAAAAGCCTTTCAGGGACTGGGGCAGGGAAGGCACTTGGGTGAAGCCCCAGCACTGAAAGGCCCCATCCAGGCAAAGGAGGAAGTGGGCAGGCCTTTCCCCCCTCACTGTGACTGCTAGCCCTGCTCCACTGCTCTGGGCAGTGGGGTCCTTCCTCAGCCAAACCAGAACAGGCACCTCTGCCCGGCTCAGAAACTGGACCACCGTCTGTGGGTGGAGTGCGGGCTGTGTGACCACATTCGGCCTCTTGGGGGAGCCCTGGTTTTCCTGCTTGCCCGCCAGCTCTTCTTCCGGGACGGAGCTGGCCTGTCGAGTTTGGGGGTCTGTGCAGGATGCAGGATGA